CAAACAAACAAACAAACAAACATAATATAAAACGAAGTTCGCTTGTTTTTAGATATTTGTGTTGGCTGAATAGGAAGTCAAAGATTTTAATACACAAATGCAGTTAGATATATAGTAAATTAATAAGATATGCGTTTTTAAAACTTGTAATTTTTATATGTTTTTATATGTTGTTTTGGGTTTGGGTTTTTTCTTACTGCTTAATTTAAAGGAAGTTGAATTGCATTTTTCTATCGGTAATATATGGGTATTCAATTTAGTGCTAATGTAAGTAGTCTCAAATGAATAGTGATGCATATATTTATTTTATTTAAAATGGACTCACAAAAATTAATATTAGGCTTTGAATACGACATCTTTACTCTGCTGGTGACGTCATACGTCTGACAAATTTTGTTAGGGCTCTGACATTAAAATTTAGCCCTTCATCACGTTATTTGATTATATTCAGGGGCGAATTGGTCTACTGGGACACCGAGTGGGCTGGTCTATTAGGCATGCTTATTCAGCCAGTATGCAGCATGTGAAAAATTATTGGGCCGCTGTTAGTAATATTGCCAGGGCTGGGCCAATCCGCCCCTGATTATATGATAGCAAGACATAGGTGATGTTAACTGAAATGGATTCTCATTTTTGGACTTAAGATTGTTCACATCGATATATATATATATATATATATACACATTAATATCATGTAGTACATTGTTTGATTTTGTTTGCTTGTTTTTATACAAAGCTACACCATAAGTACCTGCATTCTTTCCATTGCAGGGAATCGAAACCTGTATTTTAACATTGTAAATCTGTAAACTAGCCGGGGGGGGGGCGAGACTAGAGGGAAAACAGACAGAGCGCAGATAACCACTGTGTAGCTGTGCGCTAAAAACAACAAGTGTATCATAGTTTAGAAAACTGAAAAATTATTATTCTAAGTATTATGTATATACACAGCGTGGTCACAAGTAAACAGACACCACCTTTTCAGAAAAAAATTAATTTTTCAGTCATATTCACATGGATTGATATATTTATAATTTAATTAATATCTAGTAGACCTTCATTTCGCTTCGTGGAGTTCGTTGATCCTTTG